GAAGAAGCAAATAGTGCCAACAAAGTTGCTTTTGAACAGGTCAACTTCATGTCATTAGATGTATACGCTCGCAAACAACCATCTGATGTAAAGCCCGTACTGGTAATACATCTACTTAAGACTATTAACCATTTTAGATCAAGTTTAATTTACTAAATTTCCTTTTTTAAAAAAAAAAAAGTTGTTCATCCATGGTGGTGAATGGAAAAGAGGAGATAAAGGCGCTCCATATCCATTGATACGTCACATGGCTGAAAGCGGTTGGGTATGAGAGTTTTTTTATTCAAACAAACGCTTACGATACCAACAATCATAAACATTACGTGAATTCTTCAGGTTGTGGTATCTGTGAATTACAGACTTGCGCCTACCTCTAAATATCCTAATCAGTTGATTGACGTAAAGAGAGCGTTGCGATGGATAAAAACTCATATTGCCGCATTCGGTGGTGATCCACAATTTATTGCCGTGGCTGGTAAATTGTCTTCGTTTTTTTTTTCTTTTTTTTATCGAAATGGATCAGAATTTCAGAATCAACATATTTTCACATGCTTTATAAGGGGATGATGCTGGCGGACAAATTGCTGCTGCAGTTGCTTTCACACAAAATGATCCGAAATATCAACCCAATTTTGAGAAAACTGACACTTCGGTAAAAGCGTGTGTTTTAATCAACGCTATTACAGATCTCTTGGACGAGAATAAATTTTGGGATAAGAATATTGGCGAGGATTTTTGTAAGAATGTCGCCGGATTGAAAGCAAAAGATGAATCATTCTTGAAAGAGCATTCACCGTTACACCTTATTAAAAAGGATTCGGTTCCATTTTTGGTATTTCAGTAAGTTTTTTAATTATATTAATTCTTCGACAATTACTATAATCCTTTAATTATTTATAATATTTTTGTCATTCGCCAGCGGAGATCGAGACACTTTTGTTCCATTTAAAGCATCCGATCACTTTGTTGAAGAATTTAAGAAAGGTAATTTTATTTACGAGCCCCCAAAATCAAACACACTGTATATTAAGTTTCATATTTATCGTTATTTCTAATTTTAGTGTCGAAATCCGAAATCCAGTTTATTCCTATTCCGGTAAGATTTTTGCATTTATTTACTGACTCAATAAAGATATGCCTAACACGGATTTCATTATAATTAACCACGAACTACGCGTTAATTTATCGATAAATTTTTAGGGTGGTCATCATGTTTACCATCTTTTTTCATCTCCTCGGTCACATTATCAAGCGATTGGCGTCGAAGAATGGCTGAATCATATCCGCCATGATATGATGGCGGACAATGACAAAAGTGCTGAGTGACCTAAAAAGTGATCTTAATTCAATATCAAAATACAGTGACCGGCGGGCCAAAAGTTACTTGTAAAATACAAAAATGGCTCGGTCATTGTTCATCACCACCATGAATATAGACTTTACCTTCTTCTTACGCTTTTCTTAAAACATTACTTTAATTCGGCAAATTAATTAACTAATTATCAGAAATTTTTTGCAAGTAAATTTTTTAGGTACTTTGTTTTTATCTTCCATACGCATTATAAAGTAGCCAAAAAATAAAACATGAAACACTGGAATTAAATTAAAAAAGAATGTCTCATTTATAATACGTAACATAGCTTATATATTTTGGCAATATAAAAAGTTTGTTTTTGTTATACAACTTCAAAAATCACATACAGTCACCACGGAAAGTGACGCATGATTTACAGTGGTAGAAATAAATAATGGCACTCATATAATTTGCTCTAATTTGCTTAAATTCTATTATAAAATCTTCAATTTTTAAACTCAAGTAGCCAAATATACTGTATATACTTCGAAATGTATCATTTTTTTAATAATCGATCATATTACTTTTATTCACTCTAAACGTTGTCTCATAGAATTCACTAAATTATAACAAGTATTTGCATCAATATTTTGTCATTTGTCCTCAATCATTAATATATAAATCTTATTTGTTATAGATTTTTTTGTAGAATTAAAGCACTTGTTTTTTTTTCTACCTTTTTTTCATGATTGCTCAGAGATTCTTGATCAGAATAAAATAGAGAAACAATGATGATCAATCAAACACTCATGAACAATAATCCTGATATGGAATAATTATAAGCTTAATAGTATGCTTTGAATTATTGTCATGCTGAAATATCTACTTTGTATCTAATATATTATATACATTTTGAAATAAATTTTCTAATAATATTTTGTAATATTACTTGTTATCTATCATCTCAATAAAAATATGAAATCCCATAGTTCTGCTTATATAGAAAACATTTCATATATAAACTTTATAAAAATGTTTAACAATTTCATAAGTTAAATACCAATTAAAAAAAAAATGCTATTACTATATATAAAAAGAATTTTTTTATATAATTAATATAAAATTCTTAAATAAAATATATATATAATATATATAAAATATAACCAGTGGATCAATAGCATAGTGGGTAGTGCTCCCTGGTCTCCAAATGCATGTTCCTAGTTCAATACCCACAAGAGGCAATCACAAAAATTTATTTTCATTTGTGGATTTACTGAATTGCCACAAAAGTCATACCCAGACATCTGGATTCAAACCAAATTCAATTAGGCTGCATGAAGATGGGACCTCTGGTCTTCCCAACGATCGTGGGCTGAAAACAGGTCGAAGCACAGAAGGTTGCATGAGGAAAGGCTTCTGGTTTAACTCTGATAAAAGCCCACAAACTTCACCCCACTGGTACGGCAGACTCCGTAGCACAAAGAACACTCTAGCCTAGGGCTATCCCAATCCGATGCTTGCTTAAAAGAGGATTATATCTTGAATATGTACTTGGTATAGTCTGAAGCCGCAGGTGGTGACAAGTAGTACAAGTACTTTCTATGAGGAACTAAGTAAAAAGTATTCGGGTTATCCAGGTGTTCTAATCAACCCTGCAAGGTACAAGATCTTCAACAGCAAGTAGCCACAAGGTTACCGAATCAGGACTAGTAGGTTAGGTGGGTTTAAACTGGTGGCAGGACTTCCTACCCCCTGAATAGTCCCACCTGGCATGCGGGCCCCACTTCCATAGTGATAAGTTGATATAGCTGGGTTAAAACAAGTGGGAGGAATGGGTTAACTTAAATGAACCTTTGATGTAATGTAATTGGATATAAATAACTCAATAAAAATCAATACATCTAGTACCTTTCACCTTAAAAAAAAAAAAATAATAATATATATAAAATACTTAATTAGAACTAAAGTTAATTGTAAAAAAATATAAATATTAAGTTTTCGAATTATATAAAATAAAAATTTTTTTCTCTTTTTTTTTTTTTAAAAGATTTAAAAATTCAAAAAAAATTTAATTTTTAATTTTTAAATTTTTTTTTTTTATCTTTCTTAAATCTTATTTTTATTTTCTCAAATATATAAATTTTTTGTTAATATTTTTAAAAAATTTTGTTTATTTTAATTTGATTTCAAATTTTTTAATTATATTAAAACTTTTAATAATAACTAATTAAAATTTTAAATTAATTAATCAATATATAATAAAAAATAAAAAATAAAAATAAGATATATAATTCTTATATATTTTATATTATATAATAAATAAATTCATTAATATTATTAATTATAATAAAAAAACAAAATATTAAAATATTTTTTTATTTTTTTAAAAAGATATTTGTTATTTTTTTTTCTTATATATTTTTTTTATAAAAAATTAAAATAGGTTTTATTTTAATTTAATAAAAAACTTTTTTATTAGTGATTATTTTTAAAAAATATTCAAATTATATTAGTTGAAATTTAGTCATTTAGTATGTCGAATTATTATCAAATTTTTAAATTTTTATAAATAAATTTAAGTTAAATTTATATTATTTGATATCACTTAGCATGAAATTAAATATAAATATTTATTAAACATTTATTAATAGTTCAACTATAATATTATAGTATTTGACAATAAATAAATAAATAAAATACAAATATTTAATAGATAACTTAGTCATAATTTAATATATTTTAAATTTAAAAATTGATAAATTTTTATATATCTACAGTAGAACCTCTATAAATTAATACTCCATAAATTAATAATCTCCTTAAATTTATAAAAAATATCTGATCCCATT